CCCCAAAACCCCAAAACCCCAAAACCCCAAAACCCCTTTTCATCAATTAAATAATATTACAATAGCTCCTCACTTTCAAAATAATTGAGTTCTCTTAAAATCTTCCCCAAAATTCTCATAAAAGTTGATGAGACGTTAATCTAGCGGTGAAATTTTCTGCTGAAATAATATTTTTCAGGAAAGACGATGATAGCAAATTCACCAAGAAATATTTCCCGTTCATTCTACATATATTAGTGTTATTATAACAGCTATTGCCTTGGAGGCCTTAAAGAGGCGGAGAAGGTACAATTAGCATGAGATACCTAATCTCATGGCCTAGTCATCTGTATGGGAAGTTTACAATCAAAATTAATAATTTACTCCAAGCAGGGATTGTGAGATGCTTTCGACTCAAATAAATTATTCCAAACATTATTAGGCGTGATTGAAGTTCTGAAGTACTGAGACTCAAGACTTCCTGAGCTCTTCAATTTTAGCTCTATAGGTGTTTCTGGTCCTTTCCTGGGTGTGAGATCTTCAAATTTCTTCGAATCATTCAGGCAATTGGATGTAGTGCAATAGAAGATATGCAAATTCTTGGATCTGAAGCATCTTTTCAGACTTCTTTTTATTGAAAGCTCTCAGAAGTGAATTAATATCAAAATTTAAACTTGAGTACTTTGGGTGAGGCTCAGTATACTTTTGCTTACTATCAACTAGTGCAACGAATACTAAATGTAAATCCTCTGAATTATTGGGAAATTTCTTATTTATATACTCCTTAGCCATTTTATAGACCTCTTCGCTATGATTAAAATTGACTCTTCTGACTCGTTTATTGAAATTGAAAGTCTTCTTGAAGTCAGCCACATAATAACTCTTGGCCTGACGAAAAATAGACTTAGTGATGACATCCATTCGAAGTTGGAATTTATTAATCCCTTGTTGAGATATCTCTTGAGCTACAACCTGGGCTTTCAGAAATGACTCCTCTTTTTCTTTAATTTCTTCAAGCTGGCCCAGGGCTTCTTGGGAAATATCAGAGCTTGAAAACTTGGAAGAGTCCTCTATCTTCTCGACTGTAATTTTCTATAATAAAACTTAACCTGAGAGTTAGAAAATTCACCCGTATTTCCAAAGAAAAGAGTTTGACATAATATCTTTGCATAAATACTTACAGGTACAAAAATCTCTGATTTCTCCTCAATAGCTGTAACGATCGGGCTCCTGAATCTCCTCTCAGTTTCAGATTCTTCTTTTCTTGAGAAAGGAACAAAGGCAGCTTTATTAGCTAACTTTTCTTGCATTGTGCTCGGTTTTGGGTGAACTTTTGAAGCAAGTAGTGTATTATGTCCAAAGCTTCGCTGGAGGTCACATAAGCAGAATTTATCACTAAGAGTTACAAGTGCGAAAGAACTTCTCCCAGGAATCATCTGAAAAGCTCCGGGCTTAGGGAATATCAATGGATACTGGTTCATTTTAAATATTATCAGAAATTAAGAAGAGCACAAATTATTTATTTTTATTCAGATCCCATCGAGTTATAAAGCATAGGGGTTTTGGGGTTTTGGGGTTTTGGGGTTTTGGGGTTTTGGGGTTTTGGG